ATTTGATATCATGTTTAGTTACTTTTAAACAGAAACAACAAAATTATCAGTATTGTTATTGTATGTGTCACAATTTGCTGTCACGCGAAAACATGTATGAGGAATCTTGAGGATACTTTAAAAACGAGAGTCTTTCGGGGCATACTCAGCGCGGCACAACTGACCTCACAGGCGGCAAACCAGGCCTTGCCATAAAACAAGCTGAAGGATCTCTAATGGGGTGTTTGACATGTTTCCGGAGAACGAAGGAACTTCGGAGGGAAGGAAAGCCTGTCCTGGTTCTACAGCTGAAGAGTATACAACAAATTATTTACAAAAAAATATATTGTATATATATTTTATATTCTATATATTTTTTATATTTTATATATATTTTATATTATATTCTATACATATACTAACAAAAATTCCAGTCTAGATAAATTGCAATTTTAAATACGTAACAGAGAGTAATAGATATTTGCTATAGATCGAAGAGAAAAATTAATTTGTGTCACCTATAATATATTATTGCGGCCTTTAATCCAGCAGTAACATGAAGGCAAGAATACAATGTTTGAAAAGCCGAATAAATATTCTTGAACCTATTTGAGAAGCTGTCTTAAGTCTGGTATAAATTCAGCTGGGCTCTGATTCAACTACCAGATTAATACTAGAACTACCGATAGTTAAGGCGAAGCTATTTCTACCAAAATCAAACAAAATGGCAGAATTTTAAACAATATGTAATGTTAGAATATTTTCGCGTTTATTGTTTTATTGTTTTCTTATAAAAGGAATGTTATATAGCATATTTTTAGTGTTATTAGCCCATGTGGGACCATGATTCCTAACTGAGGATTGTAACACTGTATCACTTGCATACCAATTAGAATAATAAGTATAATACAGAGTATATCGTTTGGTAATAGAAATATTAAAATGAATATCCATCTCAAGGGTAAGTTATTCTTATAGTATAAAATAAATTGTTACGTATAAAAAGTTATAATTTGTCTCATTTTTCACAAACGTAGTTTTTCTTCTGACACGGGAATTACAGTGATTTTTTTCTGAAACTTTGCATAATTATTCAGTAGACCTGCCTAAACATATAATCGTCATTCGTTGTTATACGTTTTCTACTTTAAATGCAAAATGAACCCTTTTATTCAAGCTGAGCCGTCTATAGTAGCTACTTGAATCGCGAACAACATAAGATATTAAAAAATGTTTGTAACAAAGAATATATTGTTTCTTTAGACCAACAAAATTATGTAAAAGGTTTTTGGAAAAATAATTTTTTCCACAAACATTAAGCTGTTTCTATGCAAAATTTAAATTTGTTTTCGTTATGAATGAAGACATTGGTTCTTTAAAAATTTAAATGTGTATTATGGTATATAATTACTTTAATTTTAAATCAAATTACTTTTGATTTTATGTACAATGTCAATTGAATCATACTGTCTGGAACGTGTAAAGTTGTTATAAGCAAAGTAATTAACGCAGACACGACTCATTATTCTTGTAATTAATAAATAATGGTCAACAAAATTAGGCAATATAATAAATTTCGTATTGTTCATAATTTGTCACATTAACCAACCATTATGAATGCTACTATAATGTGGTTGAGCAAAGTGGTAAGAATACTACAAATATCGTTTCACAGGCGAATGGGGCGTAAGTAATATCCGCATAAAGACTATATTGAACCAGAATACAGTATGTAAATAATTATTAAACTAGAATATAATAATTGGTAAAAATTCTGCCGTTGCATCCCTTATACTTTTAGCATATGATATGCATTAATTTATTCGTTCTGACATGTAGAATACGAATATTATATTCGTCTTTGACGGAAAATACATATTTCCATAATATTAATGAAAATGATGTTTATAGTTGGACATCCACAGTAACATGTTTGCACGTTTTGACGACTGCCTTACAGCGGCTAGGTACAAACTTCTAATTATACTAACTCTTACATCTTGTTTAGATACGGTAAAAAACGATTTAACGATCACCATGATAACTTGTGAACAAACCTACGACTCATTGTGCATTGATAGTCGGAACGTACAAACTAGTGATCTTTATACTTATAAAGCGATTTCATGTATTTTCTATACAGTTATTCGCATTAATATTCAGGATGAGGTGATTTATATATTATACAGGTATTTTTACAATAGCATGAATCATTTATTATTGTTTAAAATACAGGGTGTTCGATTACTGGTGCGCATAATTTCAAGGGGTGGTAGCTGAGGTGTTACTGAACAACTTTTTGCTTTACCAAAATGTTAACTAAGACTTAGTTTTTGAATTACGAGGGTTGTCCGTAAAATAAGGTTCCCAATGATTTTTCACAATGAAAAACATGTTTATTGGCATTGAGTAATATGTTTTTGGAAAGCTTAGATTTAACCCTATTATTCGACGCAATCGCCGTTCAGATCAATGCATTTTTACATGAGGTGCACCATCTTTTTTATGCCCGCATCATAGAACTCTCCGCCACGCCGCGAAGGTAGCTTAGAACGGATGGCCGTCCGCAACGCTGTTCGTCATGGACATCTGTACGTCCGTCTTTGAATTTTCTGCACCATTTTCGCACGTGCTTTACGCTCATACACTTTTCTCCGTAGATTTCACATAATTGGCGATGAATGTCCACCGCTGCAATGTTTTTTGCACACAAAAAACGAATCACAGAGTGTAATTCGCACCTAGCGGGAGAAGCGAGTGGGAGCTCCATTTCTAACGATTGTCATGCTAAAATGGAGAGTCGCAGATAGCTCGACGTGGCGGGGTCTGAAAGAGGAAGGACCAAGCTACACGTCAGTGCCGCCAGATTTCACGTAACACCGTTCCTCGCAATTACAGCTCTTTGGGAACCTTATTTTACGGACAACCCTCGTACATTAATTCCTCACTATTCAATATTAAATATTTTTATTTCAATTAAATCGCAAACGCTTATCGATGAAAGACCTAAGATACAAAAAGGAAACTTTGACGGAAAAGTAATATTTCTGAATAAACAGCAATTAATATGAAAGCCTTAATCAACATTTTATTTTCGCATACGAAAAACACTGATCAATTAGAGTGCGAGAATAGCCCGCGCCCGAACGCGAGAACGACAACTTCGAGCTTCACAGCTGAGCGTGATCGTGAACAAGTACGTTGCCACCGTAGACGTGTAATTGTTAACAGAAAGCCGCTACGTCAAAATAAAATCACATAATGAATAAAATAATCAAGAATAGGAACGTGTTATTCATTATTTACAGGTAGGGGATGAACCAATCAAGTTTTGTTAACATAAAATGGAATTTGTTCCATACTTATAATCGTTATTGAGTCATTCCACGCCAAATCGATCACTTTTGGAAGTCACCATCTCCGATTTTGTTCTAATCGAAATATGTTGTAGTCCATGTGAAATTAGGGGAAGAGGTTCCATCATCATTTTGCCGGTTTCGAATTTGTTAATAAATGACAAGCCTTCAAAGTTTGCAATTTTTGCCCATTTTGACGAAAATAGGGTTCACTTACGAATTTTTTTGTCAGGAACTACTCACCCAATTTAGCTACATTTCTTTAAACAAACTCTTTTTTTGCGTTTTTCTCAATGAGGTGCATAAAGCGTTAAAATTAAAAATAAATATGATCATATTCTTTGAAGCTTCCCCTTTAAAATGAGCCCTTCAGAACGATGGAGCCTCAAACATTAACGTCTCTACAAGCTGGAAAAGGACGCGGGGTACCCTCGTTACAGATAGGCAAATCATGTATTCCGCTATTGTGATCGGTTTTTTTGTACCCCCGGTCTCGAAACAATACGACAAGACTTCGTATACAACTAAATGACCCTGTTCATAGATATGAACAAGAATGATTGTTAATAAAATCAACTACGATTTACAATTAATTTTCAAATAACAGTGAAATTGTTAAGAAGTTTTGTGCACTGATACTAAATCAAGAACAGTGTCGACTTTGTTTAGTGTTTATTACAATCTGAACTAGAATTGACACTAAGCTGATAATAGAAATTAGCAAAGATACCTAGATAGACTTGCAGCCTATTCTTATTCATATCGAAGTTGTTTGTACCACTGATATTACACAATTTGTAGTCGTTTACAGTATTGACAATTTTATTCTTTATCGTAACTAAATTGGGGCGCATATATTCGACTAAAAATAATTTCAATTGTAAGGTGGACTTACACCTCTTTCAAAATAGACATCGTTCTAATACCGTTAATCATCCAAATGTCAGAGAATTTTAATTATTTTCACCGTAGATAACTTACAGATACAAATATTATCGATTTTATTAACTAATGAGGCGCTGCGCCGATTACATATATCGCAAATTGATCCTCTCATCACGACGTCTGGTTTTTTTTTACTCTTTGAAGAAACGCACGTTACCGGTACGCGTTCAAAAAACAAACGCCGCGGGGCATCTCGAAAATTCAAGACGTCGAATGTTTCAACTATTCCGAAATATATCCCCTGTAACATTACATTAAATTTTGTCTATTGTTATTATTTTCATTTTTTCAAAAGTGGATTTGCTCCACTTTCAAGGTCAACGGTTCATACGTAAAATACAGGCCTCAACATAAATGATTCATTCGTTTTAAAAGGCTATATCATCAAAAGTATTATACGTACACACATGAAAGATATATGAAAAGAATAACAAATTCACCAAGTTGAACAAATGTTCAACATGTATATGGGATGAGGACGCGGCAGGGAAAATAATACTTATTTTCCACCTTTGACTTCCCGTTTATTTCGCAAGCAAGTCAACGACCTTACTCTTCGACTTACAGTGATGAACTGACTAACTTTCGTACTGTCACGTCCTCAATGAAGAACACTTTTTTTTAAAAAGAAACGATTTGCCGTTGATAGATCGTCAACGACAAATACTACTTTTATTAATTCACAATTATACAAATAAATTTGGGTAAACACTCCTAAACACAAATATTTAACTACCACTGGTCAGTAAACAAAACGGTGAACAGTTCGTTTCGCGTATATTATTATTAGTCCCGCGCCGCTGCGCGTTCGCTCTATATATATTCCTAATATGCTGATTCTCCACGTTTGAGAAATCCGCATTATCAGCGTCTGTGACACCTTCCCCCTAATTTTTAAGATTTTGACAATCTGTTTTTAATTGCAAAATCGGTTCTATGTATTGCGCCGGTTTGTCTAATGATAGGAAGTTCAGAAGGTAATGGTGGTGATATGGGAATTGGTTCATCTGGCGTAAATCTTACGGAATATGCATTGTTCGTTGGGGTACTATGGAAACAATTTATGAATACTTGAGTGCAAGGGTTCGTTAGTGTTTTGAAAAGGGAGGTTACTAATCTGTGGATTTTGAATTTATAGGCAATGTAAATTGTCAGTATACCGATAGCTATGTATCCTGCGTATCGTAATCCGTCCATGGTTTGTTCGTATATAGTCCTCGTCCTTCTGTGTTCTGATAGGAGTTGTATCTGGTCATCTATTTCGTCTAATGTATTTCCTAGCGTTTTTAATTTGTGTGCGTTCAAATGGCGAGAATCGTCGAGTCGGATCAGAGGAAGGTCTGTTATTTTTAATGTTGTATCTTTCAGTCTGTCTTCTAGTTCTGTATTGTTTAGGATACTTCGTAATGTAATGTCCAAGGAGGTGTTTATTGTAGCTTTGTTTTCAGGTTGTAAAATTATGTCTTCGGTAATGCCTTGACAGTCGGGTCGTATGGTTAATAGTATTGTTCCTGAAATTTCTACATTCCTGGGTTTTTTATCAGGGCAAATGATGTGTAATGTATCCGTTGTGGGAATAGTTGCTAACCATTGTGTGTTAGATTTCAACTGAATCCAAAGTGTCTTTTGAAATTTCGCATATCGTATGGTGCATGTATTGCTGTCCGATTTGAATACACTATGTCCTGTAGTGTAATAAGTTTGTTAAACAAGCGTCTTTGTGAGTTACAGAATAGTCTGGCGTCTGTCGTTTGCATATATGAAATTTGTTACTACGTTTACATCTGTTCAATGATTCGTTGTCAGTAGTGGAGAAGGTTGTTTGGATCGTGTTTAATATGATATACTCGTCTGGGGGATCATAAAAGTAGAAAGTTTCTGGAGCTTTTTTATGGGGAATAGGAATTACTCTATATGCGTTGTACATTTGGGTTTCAAGTAATGGGATATGTAGGATGTAGACAAGCCTGTTTTTTATGTATGCCATCGTTATTTCGCTAATGTCAATAAGAGTAGTAAAACTAGTTATTTCTAATGGAATGGGGAGGGTGTCTTCAGGTAGATTAGTTTTTCTAAGCGCGTTGAATAAAACGTCTGGAGACAGAAGTTGAGGATGTATTATGCCATGCTTACTATCTGCAATGGCGTTCATTAAATTATTTACATCTTCGCTATAGTCATTGACAATGTTAGTTAACTCTAATGCTAATTCCTCAAGTTCGATCTCGTATTTATTTCTCGCGGATACATTGTAAAGTTTTTCGTTATTGATGTCTATCGCAGTTAGTTTAGATTTAAAGGCTCTAACATTTTCTAAGTTATCTAATATTTGCGTTTTCATTATGTGCGTCTGATTTTTTACTAATCGAGCTATCGTACCTATATCATCATGCAATTTGTCAATTTCTGTGTTGTAATATTCTGCATCTGCAGACGAAAGCGTGCCGAATAGAATTTTACTTACTTCCCCTATTGGATTAAATATTCCACGTTTTCTTCGAAAGTTAGCGCGACCTATTAAGCGATCTATTTGTTCTTGTTGTTTCCTAATCCGATTTATTTTAACACCTAAATATGTTATAATTTTCTCTGCCCTACATACTGTGTTATGTCTTATACATAATTGCTTAAGTCTTATTACATGTGAGGTTAATACTTCTTTCTTATTATCTAATTCGCTTATCTCTATAAACGCGATGATCCTCCAGGTTTCGTGGTACATCCGGATTTTGGAGAGGTGTTCCAGATATATTGGTGCATCATCAGTAATATGGGACACCGCGTATGAATTATCCTCTGGAGGTGCTTGGCCCTGGATCCCAAGCAGGAACAGGAACAGGCTCAACACTTGCTGCATCAGGTGGAGGATTCGCTAACTTTAACCTATCAACATGTACAATTTCAGATCGGTTATTTTTGCCTAATATTTTAACGTTATGTGATGATAAAATTTCTATAATCGGATATGGTCCTAAATATAAGGGGTCCGTCTTGGTCCTTCGACCATGGTTTTGTAGATACACCATGTCTCCCACTTGGTACTTAGGGCTGCGTTTTATAATTTTATTGTCATAAATTCCCTTGTGTTTTTCCTTTGCTCGCGTTATGTTCTCTTTCGCTCTGCTTAACTGAGATTCTAGGTGCATTTTCAATTCTTTAAGATATTCTTCGCCCGTTGTTCCTAATCTCGGTGACCTAAAGCTGTTAGGTAGGTTAGCCTTTCTCCCAAATGTCAGTTCGTAAGGGGAAAATCCTGTTGCTTCGTGAGTTGCTGTATTATATGAAAGCGACGCTAATTTGATAAATTCGTCCCAGTCGGTCCAGTTTTGATTTACGTAGTATCTAAGATATTCTTTTATCGTGTGGTGTGCCCTCTCAAGACTACCATTCGATTGTGGCCTGTAGGTAGTTGTTCGAATGGGTTTTATTTTGAGCATTCTCTCTAATTCCGTCATTAGCTTGCCTCCAATGCTGTGCTGGTTATCTGAAAGAATTTCTTCTGGAAATCCATAAATTGATAAGTATTCTTTCACGAGGCCCTCTGCTATTGATTTAGCCGTTATGTCCTGTAGTGCAATTAGTGATATGAATTTAGTCAATTGATCTTGAATTGTTAAAATGTAGCGATTTCCTATGTTAGTTTTCGGTAGTGGACCTAATATGTCGATAGCGATCTTTTGATGGGCTTCTACTGGTGTATCCGTTATTAACAGTTCTTGTTTTGCTTTAGTCCGCTCATCTTTATTCTTCTCACAAGATTGACAGTGAGATATTTCTTCCTGAACCTCAGACTTTTTCACTGAGGGTGCTACTTCCCTGGTTTTGTTTAACGTCTTAAAAATACCTGCATGACCGGCTGTTGGTGATTCATGTATTTGTTTTATTAACAGTTTTTTGTCTATTGGAATTGTTTCATTCGCGATGATGTGTACGCAAATACTTGTATCCTTGAAAATAAAATCTACGAGGTTGTACAGATTTTGTTGCTCCGCTTTTGATAACTCATTGTGAATTATTAGAATATTTTTCGTTCCCTTTAGGTGTTCTGCAATCTTTATCTTTTGGAAATTACTAAATAAATCCTCTAATTTGTTTCCTTTCGATAGAGTGTTGGGAATTAGCCACTTCCCTTGGTCGTGCTTCAATGTTTCTATTTCCGTCAGGATTACTGTAACGTGTGGTGTTAGTGGGTATTTGTTCAAGTGAGCTAAGGCTGCCAAAGGTTTTTTACTTAACTGCGTAAATTCTTCGTAACTCGGTTCTCGATTAAGTAGGACTTCGGCTACGTATTCTTCTGGGTCGGCTACTTCTTCGGGTGTGATCGTCTCGTTAATTTGCCCCTCATTTAGAATTTCCATTGCGTCTGGAGAAGGTCTCAGACTTTTTCACTGAGGGTGCTACTTCCCTGGTTTTGTTTAACATCTTAAAAATACCTGCATGACCTGTTGGTGATTCATGTATTTGTTTTATTAACAGTTTTTTGTCTATTGGAATTGTTTCATTCGCGATGATGTGTACGCAAATACTTGTATCCTTGAAAATAAAATCTACGAGGTTGTACAGATTTTGTTGCTCCGCTTTTGATAACTCATTGTGAATTATTAGAATATTTTTCGTTCCCTTTAGGTGTTCTGCAATCTTTATCTTTTGGAAATTACTAAATAAATCCTCTAATTTGTTTCCTTTCGATAGAGTGTTGGGAATTAGCCACTTCCCTTGGTCGTGCTTCAATGTTTCTATTTCCGTCAGGATTACTGTAACGTGTGGTGTTAGTGGGTATTTGTTCAAGTGAGCTAAGGCTGCCAAAGGTTTTTTACTTAACTGCGTAAATTCTTCGTAACTCGGTTCTCGATTAAGTAGGACTTTGGCTACGTATTCTTCTATATTATTAGTCCCGCGCTGCTGCGCGTTCGCTCTATATATATTCCTAACATACTGATTCTCCACGTTTGAGAAATCCGCATTATCAGCGTCTGTGACAGTACTTAAAACACGCACCCCCACACACCCTGATGCATTCTCACTTGGAATCATTCTTTCTTCTTCCAAATCGAATCGCTTTCACTCTAAACCAATCATTCAACGATACACGCGTATTTCTCAGGCATTCTTCGAACTCGGACACCCAACGCGACACTCGAACTAATGATCGAAACATTCTCTCGCAAACGCTACGCAGCATCCACTCGAACTCAGGTAAACAATTCGTTAACGCATCTCATTCACACCTAAAATCTTTAAGCCTAGACTAAATATAATAAATTAGGCAGGGACGTGGCGGCCGCTAAATCGACGCCACATGTATTTAGGGATTATAATGAAACTGGATATTTCTTTTGTTTTCACAACATTATGCTACTCTTGTACAAATATGAGATTATAATGCAGCGTATTATGTTAATAAAATATAATACAATATAATATAATATCGCAGAATATAATGCAACAGAATATAATATCATGAAATATGCTGTAAGTATTAATCTACATAGTTTTTGCAATAGTAATATTTGTAAGAAAAGTGAATAAAACATAAGTGTTCCTTAAACAAGTTCAGCCACAAATAATAATATTTATTGCAAACTTTTTCAATCTATAATTGTGAATGTACTATCTATATTTTAAATATATAAATTATATATTTTGTAAAATGGTTTGCACAGTCAAATTTGCCACTATAATATAACAAATTTTTATATACTGTGACGGATCGGTGGGGGAAAAGCCCGAAGGGGGTTCCCTAGAGTGGGGGCGGTTAGGGAAAACGGCCCTCCACGCACAAGGAGTAAAAAATATTTTGGACCTAAATAAGGAATATTTGTTTTTCAAATATCCCCATAAAAAGAAATTCAAAGCATTCAAATCAGGGGTTCAAGGAGGAAATGTAAACTTAATTTCTTTCTCATATAACGTACAATGAGATGGGGATCCATGACACCTGCAACACAATGATAGTCATTCTATCAAAGGCATATCGTACTAAGAAAGTATATTTAGAAGAAATTAAAATTAGTAACATCTCTAAGCCAATTTAGGAATATTATTGGGTTAAGAAGGTAATCTTTCATAATTCATAATTAATATAAACATCAACACAAAATTCGGTCAACCAACAGCAAACATAGAAAACCCTAATTTCTCAGTCGAACAGTTATTTATAGAAGAGAAATCTCACATGACCTTCAGAGGCTGTAGTCAACCCAGGAATTGGCGCGTGAGGAGGTCGACCCAAAAAGTAAAAAAAAATCACTTGGTCGCCCCACCTCTAAACCTTGAACGTTTCCCGCGTGACATATCGGCAAATAAGAAAAATATTAATAATTGCAATTACACCATGCAGTTCGTACTATCTCACATCCTCTTCCGGCTATCATTATTCTTTGCCTAATCGGTATGCGTGACCGCTCGCACCAATTTTTCCCAGCATCTAAAAGACATGCGAATCTAAGCGTCCTTTTTCTATTTTCACTATTGTTTATTTTATTTTATACAGAGTTTTTTGTTGAAAAATCAAATTCTGTTGGGTACCACATTAATGTTCATAGTAACGAACTTGTAAATAAATTAGTGAAAAATGTAACAAAAGGAGCACCCACCATCTCTCCTGGAATATCCTTCATTGATCTCAAAGAAATATTCAAAGCCTCAGCAATCAAAAGGAATCTAAGACTCACCAAATAAAGATTAATTAAAATTGACTATTTCCTACATTTTCAGAACAAAAATTATAAATCATGGTATGCTGACAAAAATTTGGAACGAGAAATTTTAACAACAATGAACAGAGGTAATTACAATCTCGTCTTTTGCCCACTCGAATTGGCAGTACAACCAGCCGCAAGTGTTAATGTGAATACGAAAGACAGGACTATAGGGAAAAAGAAAAAAGGTGTATTAAAAATAATGACTCGGTAAGTTTTGTTTCTCAACAAAATTTTTATTCTATATACCGTGTGTGAATGCATTTTAAAGTGCGATGCTATATTTGTCACTATTATTATAAAATCTCTTTTCCACTGATTGACTAACTCGCGTGTACAAATACACAAGCCAAACGGTGCGAGATACGACATTTTTCCATAAAAGTATAGATAGAGAGAGAAAATGAAGAAAATGGGGAAACCTAGAAAACCTAGAAAAAATTCGGAAAGGTACAGACACGGCGCAAAAGAGTCATAAAAATAATGCGACAATGCGTGCTAGTTGATAATCACAGAACCTTTATCAGAAAATTACATAGAATGAAATACTCTCTGCCACTGTCAAATACTTTAGAATTAGCGTCATACTTTAGAAACCCATAGAACAAATACATATGTAACGACATTCACTCGTTCGTGGAAAGCTGTAAACTATCTGTATAAGTCATTGTACATCTTTCCTTATATAATATTGAAACTGAAAATTCTTTATATAATACAAAATAACCTTGTTAGTAATAACCTTGTAATTCCTTATATAATACAAAATAACCTTGTTATTAATAACCTTGGAATTCCTTACATAATACAAAATAACCTTGGAAAAGATTGAAAATGCTTGAAAAAAACCTCATAACGCTCATTCAAACATTGAATTAACGAAAAAACGCTGTTGGTGATTTAATTGTGAAGAAAAATATAAAGACTTAAAATATTTTGTTACGTATATGCGGTTTTGTCTATATATAAAACACAAAATATGAAATTCAGATTCGGAGAACATTTTAGAAGTTGTCATTGTAAAATTCTATTGTTGCTTGGTGGGTGAGTGGAGTGAATGCACGATCTCGTTGGACATGGTATGAATAGGGTAACTACTCGTAAAGTGTTCTCCAGACAAGAGTAGTACCGATTTATACGCCATCAAATGTTCTTTTTACGTTGGTTCCGTGATCTGCAATTCTGAAAATGCAATTAAAAATAGACGGATCTCGGAATAGATTTACAATAGGGAAAATTCACATAAAGGCAGTTAATTTGGTAGCCATTTTTGGTTATTTATAATTTTACAATTTATTTTATATAATTTTTTGTACATCAACTGCATACAGTATATGCTATTTAAAGTTATAGTGTAAAATTGTTTGAGGTTAGTTTGGATCGTTATAATTCTTTTTACTAGTTTATCAAATGGAAACTTGTAAGTATTCTAAATGCATATAAATATTTTCAGGTATAAATTCATAGAAAAATAATAATTAAATAAAGCGACATTTTTTATCTGTATTAACACGTTGATTGTCAAGCTGAAACAGTTGGAAATTTTATTACATAGTCATATCTTTTTGACCAATCGCACCAAATATTTTTACAATATTTTATTATATTTTGTTTTTCATAATTCCAAATAGTTAATATTCCCAACTAGGTTAATCAACAAATTATTAATAACACGGGCGATGAACTCGTATAAAAATTTAAGTATCACACATATATGGTTAAAGCGATAAACAGGAATATAGATTTTTTCAAATATTGGCAAGCTCATACATTTCCAATATTTTATGGTACCACCATTACATTTCATTGTTTGAAATATTTGATTAGGTATTGAATTAACAAAAGTCTTTAATTATTGTTCAATATTTTGCTCCAATCTGTTTGTTTCGAATTTTTAAATTCGTTAATAGCGCTGATTATTAATACTCCTACGTCGCGTATGTTACATTTCTTTTGAACCTTATAAATAATTTAGATAAATAGATTGGTTGAATATTTATGTACTACTTATAATAATTGAAAATTGTATTTGTCACATACTCCGCACTCTTGCAATACTTTTAATCGAGAATTATTGATCTATTGTGTAAATTAAAGAGTTAGTAGGTAAAAGAAACTAAGGAGTGCAAAGGGTTAATATACGAATACTGGAAAAATATTAATATTCGGTTTCCTTGGGAATGAACCCTCATAAGAAAAAATTTTATTGTACATTTTTAACCGATTATTTCATGTAAATTCATCATTTCGGAAATACCCTGTATACACAGATATTCTCCAAATATTTTTCGTTGATTCTGAGATTTAAAGTTAGTCAATTTTTACTATAGTTCCTCGATAAATACCTAAAAACGAATATATTAAGTGATTTGAAGCTACAAAATTCTGGGTATTCAACGTCCAATAGAGAAATTCCAGGTCTCGTTCAGTGACGTCATACAGTCTTTGACGTAAATGCTTCATTGGTGGTGATTGAAGAGAAGCTGACAACACTTTGGCCACTCGAGACGAGTTCGATTTTTTAAACGTTCCTTCCCGCGCTCTTCTTCGAGTGAGTCAAATATAGATCTTTAAATTCGATAGTACGATGGTCTTGTCCTGATAATCTCTTTTTGTTATCGAGGGATTTTAATATGACACTAAAAAATTAAAAAAATAAAAAGAACCCTCAATAAATCGATAAACATGTTATCTTAAGATTCTACCAATTTTAGTGGACCTTGTTTAACAAAATGATATAAATATTTGAACTTTTTATTTGTATCCAGTTTTGTTGTATATTTATTCTTCTTAAAATTAAACGGAGAAGCTTCGAGTTTTATTACTTTCAGATTTAGAAGGTCTCTCAGTTAATTACCATCTAACATTGATGTAATTTTGATGTAATCGTTCAAGTTGATTTCTTTGAAACCGATAAATATTTAAACAACGATTAGCTCGAAAAAAATTGAAATATATAATTTGTGTGTTTCATGATGCTAAGTTCAAGTATATCATTTTCTTAAAAGTCATTTGTTTAAAGAATATATTAAAAATTACTACAAGTATGTCTTTAAAAAAATAAATCACAATTTTTAATTTTGCTCTTGCAAAAACTATTATTAAATTTAAAACGTATTTTAATTCCCCATGATATATTATATTTCTAAGCTTTATGTGCTTGATTTAAAGATTTCTGTTACCTTTTTGCACATAGCTATTAATTAATTATAAGAAAATAATGAATGGCATAATTGGTGACAAATAAGATAACTGAAATTTTTATACTAACAGGTTAGTCGTCACTAGCAAAGAAAAGTAATTGGAAACTGCATTAAACTTTAAAGATCTCCCGATTCTTCAAAAAGCGTCAACAACCGTACTTCTTTTTCGCTAATAAGGAAACTTTATCTGAAGTTAAAATTGCTCGTTTGAAATAAAGAACAGGCAACACCTACAGACCGTTGCTGAACAAGTAAAAAAAATGAATTGTACTAAAAGTGGCGTGATAGGGATACTTTACGCTTCTGAAAATACCGCAGACATCATCCTCCTGTCGAAACTTGTGGTAACGAACCATCGAGAGCAGCTTCTTTTTACTTCTACAATCAGGTCATTGGGCCTGCAACACCACTGGGAATAGTAGAATGCCGCGAACCACTCGAACCGCTCCTTCAGCAATCCATTTCTCGCCTCTTTCCTTTCTAACAGCAGCCAGCTTCAATATCGACGTCAGTATGTACTACGGAAAATGTCGTCACAAGGCGCATCGAAATATGTATACATAATCGGATGGAACGTGTGTAATTCCGTCCCTCTTACTGTTATCAAAATCGACATATTTCTTCTGTATTCAAATTTGAGTAAAATACTAGTCTATCTTTATAGTAATACTGTTCAATTAGCAAAAAAATTTGTCATTTTCACATGCTTTTCTTTAACTTGACATATTTCATGCGTGTAGTGGAATCTTGCAACCTAATTTCAACACACTTCTAGACAGTGTATGATAATGAAATGTTTGCAGAGTTGTGTAAGTCGGAGGACAATACAGTGTTCCATTGTTAAGAAACGATTTTTTTGTCACCTTCTATTTTAAAAGCAAAATTAACGTTATGACGGTGAAAAAAAATTAAAAAATCTACATACATGTATATTACGGCGGTTCGAAATTTACTAACAAGGGACATCATCCAATTCATACACGCCGATTTTTATGAAATTCTTATATGTAATAGAACTTGAAAAAATATTTTCGAGAGAAAGTATTAACAACACGACGCGACGCATTCGTATACCGCCCAGTATGCTATGTCGATATCAGGAAAATTATTACCCCATGCATTTCTGTGCATGCAGGAACCCACGGGAAAATTTGGTCCGACTGTGCAGAAAGAAGTGGAGAAATCGAAAGAAGGATATAAAAATGTAATTGTAACGTCATCAAAATCAGGCAAACTAACTAATGAATTATATAAGTCATTTTTAAAATCAGTGATCCAACCCTACGTGGAAGATAAAAAATTTCTTTTAATTATTGATTCTTGTGGAGGGCAGACAAATATGCAGATGTATGACGATTTGTTTACCACCGATGAAGGCGACTGTACCTACACCGTCAAAGTCGTTCTACCCAAGTGCATGCCGCTGATCCAGTCCTGCGACGTGTACTTTTATCGTCAAGTGAAAAATTTCCTAAAAAAAATTCAGAACTGTTGTCACCTGTTAGTAATGGAGTTTGAGCGAGAAATATCAACCAGGGAAGATGATATTAAATTACATTCGCTCATTCACAACCAGTTATATGCATCAATTTTCGTGCTCATGTTAAAATACGCCTGATTTGCATCAGGCTTGTCGACGGAAAGAGGGGTATTTGAAAACGTCAACGAAGTCTGCTTTACGCAAGAAATACAAAGCAGCAGATGCCTATGCAACAATACTGCACTAATTCGATGCGCGAGATGCTTTCCGAAATTATGTTTGATTTGCTTTTATGACAAGTTTCACCATTGTGCGGACAATGAGGGGTAAGAAAGTAGTCATATTTTTATACTAATTCTGTTAACCTGATAAATGTTTTATTTATTGTTTCCTTTCACAATATATTGTTTCCAGGCACGATTAACTGGCAGTTGAAGGGCTTTTCTCCTGTTCTTCTTGTGAAACGCTTTTATTGTTTTATAATAAATATTATTCTGTACTTATACGAATGATAATGACAAATAAAACTCTTATAAGGTTTCTAGTCATTAAAGACATTTCATTTCCAATTTATTTAAACTCCATTATGTATCTTTATGTAAAAATAGACATAAAATATAAAATATAAAAAAAGTGATTCACCCTCCACGGATACGAACGCTGCTCCTAACAACGAGGAACACCTATCCGTTGCTGCTACGTTAAACCATTACGTGTAATTGTTTACTATAGAACTGAATTTAACGAATGAATTGCAGCTTCAATTGCAAATATCTAAAAAGTTATTGAGTAGTGACCCCTATAACCATATATCTTTATCAACAGGGAAACTAAATCTACCATCCTACAAAATTTGAACTAAATCCGTGACCCCAAGACCTTGCACTCTCTGTTAGAGTTTCGCATAGATGAGGTTTACGACATGACAAGGGAAAGCGGTCACTTTTGAACCCCATAATTTAGTATCCGTACCATCTGCGTGCCAGCACTACGATGATACGTGACAATTTGTAGTTTTTAGCAGATTTATTTATTGCTGCACTAGTCCTTAGAGTTTTTGGCTTCAGTGACACAGGCCATGTCATAAACCTCGAAGATTAGAAGGTCAGAGGGCGATCTGGGCCTCCAAAGTAACGGTTCCCGCAGACCGTGAACTACGTCACGGAATTCGGGAAATACCCAGAATGGAAGGGAGATCAGAGGTGTTAACTAAGGTAGAACACTCGAAAATAGTTAGATATCCAACAGAGCAGACAGCATTCAGTATAGTTAGCAAAGAGTATAGTAGAGTCACAGTTCAGAGTGACACTTTAGTTAGAACTTGCTAGTGATCAGACTAGTCAGTAACCAGTACATAGAAAATTCAAGTTTCACACACTCTTTCACACACAAACATATAGTTCCATCCACATATTCAAATAAACTGTTTTCTGTTATTTAATCACGTGCATCATTATTAACGGCCCCAATCCGGTCAAATTGGGTGGTCCTTCACAACACAGTACATAGACGGCACGTAGTGCAATATCAGGGCTCGACCAAACCCTAACACTCTCCTTGTTAGCTTAATATTAACATTAATGAAGGAATGCGATTATATGTGAATGTGCAAATGAGAAAATGTAAGAGAGCATGCATGAACGTATGTGAGAGAGAGTACGAATGAGTGTAAGTAGGTGAGCGCGTGCGTGCGTGCAAAGGAATGCGAGAGAAACGGCGAGAATGCAGGAAGAACAAAAGAAACTAGATTTCTGACGAAGTCAAAATCAAAACGATTCGTGACGTGATTAGACCGGTTTTGATGCGTTCCTGATTTTATTCGTGAGTATTCCTGTAACTATTCCGTTATTATTACATTATATTTTATAGTTTATTATTGAAAACTAACTCTGCCACGTGAACCTTTATTCGACTTTCCCTCAGACATAATCCTACATTAATACGTTAATTTTATTTTACACGATTTATTTCTTACACAGTACAATGTACTCCCGCTATCCCATAATAGTAACAAGTGAATATTTAAACAAAATTATGGGCAAATACAGCATACAGTATACTTTGTGGCGTTTCTTCAGAATTCAATGAGGAATTTTAGCGCAGATCGTTGTCAAAAAGACAACGATATGCATTATACATTTACGTATATTACCAGATATATCTATAATGGTTCGTATTCTTTCTCAGGATTTATTAATTTTCAATACGCCATACCACAATCAACTGGTTATTGGCAGCAACGTTTACTGAGGTATTTTTAACTTTGCGCCGCCTCCGAAAAGGTTGAAATGTAATTGTATGATAATTGTATGATTGAATGAAATAGAAATTACTTCATTAGGAAATAGAAATTATTTTATACTTTTTAGTGCATTTCGAAGTCGGCGTATTTTTTTTCTTAAAATTATTTCATTCCACGCTTTTTAGTGGAATGAGGAGAATTGTACAGAATACTGTGAGACAGTTCTTCCGAGCTTTTTTTTTGTCTGCGTAAATGCCATGAACATAATTAAGTAAAAAAAAACATGGATATTCGTTTTTCAATTTCTTTTTCGCGAATATCTCGAAAACTAAAGTTTTCCGTCAATTATGCATAAGGAAAAGGTTGTCCA